TTGCAAGAGTTATGCTTAAAAACAGATGGAAGAAGACCCCTATATTAGCCTCTAAAGTTTTATTTTAAAAAATGCTACATCATAGTCACTTATTTTTTTAGATGAACCAAAAACAGTCAAATACGATTTCTGACTTGACAGACAGAAGGCAATGTTAAATGTGTGAACTTTAGCAATGGCATTTAAATTTGATTTTATACTTAGAGATTACCTACTTTACTATGGATTGATACCTAAATCAAGTCCTTCGACTGTGCAAAATCCTTATACTTCTGTATTTATCCTGCACAAGATTAGCAAAACAGTCCTCCTGACAAGCAAGTATCAACAATCATAAGGTGCTTCCTGGCTTCACCACCCCTTCCAAAACTTACATTTACAAGTGTTTCCCTTGCTACATCAAGGCAGTTAAACAGATTGCAACAGCTGCAGCTTCCCAGGATTGCAAGACACAGATACTTTGGGAAAGGTTAGTTGGATCACCTTTCAAAATAACCTAGTGCACAGGATGCAAAGCAAAACCTGCTAATTTGCAGTTTATATTAAAAGAATACCTTCAGTATTTGTGAGAACAGCATCTTGCAATCCAGTTTATGTTAACTCATTTTGTTCTCAGTTGAATTCTACATTTGATATTCTTTTAATGAGATTACTTAATAGTCATAAACTGCTGAACTTCCTTTCTTTCCTTCCCGCTCATAAAAATCTTAATTCCTGTGTTTTACACCTACATACTTGCAATAAGTGACATGGAGTTTTGTTTTGGTTTTTTTTTGGGGGGGGGGGAGGAGGTAGAGTGCTACAAGACTTGTGTCCTAGAAAAATTCCAATTCTCATTTATATTGTGGCCTAACTAGACTTCCTTTGTAATTTAACTTGACTACATTACACTTCACTTCCTGTTCCCATGTAGGGCTGCTACATTCTACCTCATGTGCGGTGGATGTGAGAAATGTTAATACTACACAGTTTGCATGCAATGTAGTTGTAGCCATGTTGGACCCAGGAAGAAGAGCTCTGTCTGGCTTGAAAGCTTGTCTCTCTCACCAACAGAAGTTGATCTAATAAAAAAAAAAATATTACCTCACCTACCTTGTCTCCCTAATACCATACAGGTACATTCTGAAGTGCCTTGGGGGTTCTGCTGGATTCAAAAGGTGCTTTGTAAGCAAAAGATTTTATCAGGATTCTAAGATTTCTCCAATCTAGTCACGTTTAGCACAATGGACAAACGTGCAACACTGAAGCGTCAAGAACTCAATTCAACGACAATTCTTTTTTAGAATACACTGTCTAACTGTATAGAGAACAGAATGCTAGTTCTATAGTTTCTTGGAAACAATTCTTAAACGTAATCTCTAAAGGAAGCTTGTTCGTAATGACACGTGCCTGGAGAGGGGAGAAGTCAAGAAATTCTACAGTTCCTTACCACCCACCCCTGTGAGTTCCCTACCAATTTGCTGACAAGCTCTGCTGATGACTCACTCATTTCCTTTTGCTTGAGCCAAGTCACTCTGTTCTCTGCCCTAAAACAAGGCAGGTTTACCTCAATTTTCTGCTTCATAAGACAGACAAATATCAAATATTCAGTCTAAGGAGTCAATTTAGCAAGAGAAAATAAAAGCAGTCAGGTGTTTTTCACAAGACAACTCTCTTTCCAATCTGGCACTAATCTTGCATCAAAACTTCAGTGAAGATGGGAGAAAACACTTGCCTTTTCCAAATTTGAGAGAGCTCAAACAATTAATATAACCAACAGCACAGGCACTGTTTAACACAAGAAAGAGAAAACATCTCTATGCCTAGTTCAGCAGCGGGAAGCGACCAGATACTCCATTTGGATTTCCAAAGATAATCTACTGAGTATGTGCTTTATGCCAAAGAAGTTTCTGTTTGCTGAGAGGCAGAAGCAGCTGTGAAACTGGAAATAGTGTTTTAATTTTTTGTTTTTAACAATCCTCATGTTTAAAAACAGCTCAGAGAGGAGCCATATTTAAATATTATTTAAGTACAGTTCCCAAACAACTCCACCTGGGCTCCTAAAAGTGAAAACAATTTCAAAATAATCAAAAACAATGGGCCCACCTAATGAAGCGTGATGAGCTTAAAAGCTCTTGTGTTCAAAATATAGAACTGTGTTTAAATTGCAAAGAAAAAAATTAAAATGACCTTAAATGACATTTTACATATAGTCGCCTTATATATAAGTGAGATTTATGTTATGTTTTAACAGCCCATTCCAAAATAAGTTGTGTGAAATTTTTTTGCATCAAGTGCCATATTTTGGAAAACCAGGAAATTAACTTCCCTGGCAACACACAAGCCAAATATATATATTTTTAAGATTCAAAATGACAAATAACACAAATCAGAAATACTAACCCATCAAACTGGAAGCAAACATAGTGGTGTTTTCACAGCATTAAAGCAAAAGAGAGTAAAGATATTATTCAGTAAATAAAGTTAGAGTAGGAAAACTATTTCTTGTACCACATTCATCTCACTTTAGTTTGTCTACACTTGAAACACCGCTGTAGCACTTCAGCATAGACACTATCTACACTGATAGGAGGTGATCTCCTGTTGGCATAGGTAATCCACCCCCCCGTCTACACCTATAGGTTAGGTTGGCTTAACCACATCGCTCAGGGGTGTGGATTTTCCACATCCCTGAGCGACGTAGCTGGGTTGACCTAACTTTTTAGCATAGACCAGGCCTATGAGTTAACCACGTCTCTACTGGAAAATTGATAACGTATAGTGGAAAGTTAAAGGCCAAGGGCGCACATACTAAGAGCCATGTTCAATCTCCACTGAAATTTATAAGTAAATATAAAATGAGCTTTTAATAGGCAATTGTTAAAATTCAAAGAGATGAGCAACACAGTGCTTTCAGGCATAGCCAGATTTTCTGTATATGAGACCTAAAAGAATGAGTGTTTAGAGTGGAAATGATGGAAACAAGAGAACATGACAGAGGTATACAAAACAATGATCAGAGCGAAAAAGCCAGTACTCCTACTGATAAACGCTCTCATAAATCACAGAGAGACACCAATGAAACTGAGGGGGTAACAAATTTAATACTGATAAAAGGAAACTTTTTTTAACAAACACCCAGCACAATTATCCTATGGAGCTCATTGCCAAAAGATATGATATTGACACCAGAGCTTTAGTATGCTTAAAAACAGGCTTAGATGTTTAATATTAAAAAAGATTAAAATTAGGCTATATATTAAAAAATCATGCTTAAATCATCCACTAAGATGGGGATAAGAAAAAAAATTCCTCTATGGTTACAATATTTTAAATTGTCTATTATGAGGTTCCTGTCTGAAATATCTGCCTAGACAGATCTCTGGTCTTACCAAGCATGGCAACTCCTATGTTCCTATGTGTTAAAAAGGTATTTACCTTAACCCTGAATCTCCAAGCCCTAAGGTGCTGCACTTTCAGTGTTCAAACAGTAATATTTACATGGAGACATTCTGCACTTTCTTCAACTCTTTAACAAGTGACTAAAGTACCAGACTAATCTGATTATAATAGGGAATACATTTATACATAACAAAGAAAGCTAATTCACTAGTTAGCATGGCTTACAACTGAGGTACTTCCCCCTCAAAAGCAATCCAAAAGTGCCACCCCTAAAGTTTGCAGAAACCATGAGATGCTAAAATAGTATTATAGTAGCTAATGAATCATTCTGCTCATCTACAGACTCTCATTTGAACCCAATAAAAAAAAATTGCCTTTATATGAACGGTCTACAATACGGGTTCTCTCTAGAAGAGGGAGTCTCCAGAATTGTACTTTAGTAAGTCCTCTCCCAGAGGCCTCACAATAGTTAACCAATGCAGCATTCCACAACAGGGCAAAGTACAGAGGCAAGAACTGAGAGACAGACTATGTTCACAGTTCTGATACAGAAAACATAAGTTCCCACTTTCTGAATTGAAAACTGACACTTACAATTAGAGGTAATTAAGAATTATGAAGTTGACCCTCTATTTCTGTTAGAGGCACACACAAGATTTGCAGCTAGAGCCACGTCTCATTAAAAGACATGCACATTCATAGAAATGCATTCCAGCATAGCATTCTGACCGATATTTATGTTCCTACCTCTTGTCAAGCTCTCAGTCTATAAAATGGATAATTTCTTTCCATCAGTTGGGCTTATAGAAGTCAAACATTTCTATACTTTGAGTCACAGAGTGGTCTTTGGTTTTTTTTTGTTTTTTTAACACTACTACTGCAGTTGTGAGTCAGAACCTGTGCTGTTCATCCAGGGGGTTCACAATCCACTTTCCATTTACACAGGAGCTTTTGAAAAAGGCAACCTTCTTCCCACCCCCAACTGAAAATGCCCTGAGAGAAAAAGCAGCTTGTGACTAATCATGCTAAGGAGGCACAGGAGGAGTCACCAGCACAACTCAGCACGGCACAACCCACCCCATAGGCTCACACACAAACCACTTCTCGCAGCACCTCAATCCCCACACCTCCCCCCCCCCCCCCGGCCCCGCCATGCCATGCCTCCACTGGGCCCGGGCCAGCCTCCCCTTCCCTCCAGGGCCCATGTGGGCTGTACAACCCTCAACCTCCCCTAGCACATACTGCCCCAGCACCCCCCCCCCCGACACACCTGTGCAATCCGCCCCCCACGTCACCCTACTCCCCCCCGGCCCATCCCCCCAACTCACCCCCACCAGCAACTGCTCAGAGCCCTTCCTTTACCCCCCCCGCCCCCGCCCCCGCCGGGGCCCGGGCCCGGCTCCTTCCACCCCCACAGGCGGGAGGGTAACCAGGACCCCAAGGGCCTAAGGTCCCAGGGGCCTCACCACCCCTCAGCCCCCCAACACCTCACACCAGCCCCCCAACACCCCAGGCCCCCGGGCCCCCCCCCCCCCGGCAGCCCCCACCTCCCCCGGCTCCTCCTCACCTGGGTGCGCCCCCCTCCTCTCCCTCCCCGCGGCCCGACCCCGGCTCCTCACCCTGGGCATTGAGCGCGGCCGTGTCCGTCGGAGCGGGCCCGGCGCCTCCCACACACCGGGCAGGGAGGGGGCGCGGCGACGGCGGCAGCCGCTCTGCCGGCGGAGGGGGAATGACGAACGAGCCCGGCCGGTTGGAGCCGCAGAGACCGTGAGTGAGCCCGCCTCGTCCGCCGGCTCCCCCGCGGGAAACGGCTCCTCCTCGCACAGACAACCCCCCCGCGCCGCGCCGCGCCGCGCGATGGCATGGCCCGCGCACGCTCCCCCGCCAGCATTGGTATGGTCCACCCCCCCAAAGCCGCCATTGGTATGGCCCGCCCTCCCCCCAGTCCCGGCATTGGAATGACCTAGTCAGTCACTTCCCATCAGCGTTGGTACAGGCCTTTCCCCCCCCGAAAAACGGCAGGATGTGGCCGCTCTTGCCCCCTGATTGCCATTGGTACGGCTCATGTCCCCCAAACTGGCAATGGTATGGTTGCCCTAGCATTGGTATAGTCCCTCCCAAATATAGCATTGGCATGACCCATCCCACATTGGAATAACCAGTTCCCGGCCAATTACCGTCTCTCACCCCCCGTAAGTCAGCACTGGTTTGGTCCAGGCCCCCCCACCAGAAATAAAATCAGTATTGGAATGGCCCATTTTCCCCAAAACCTCATTGGCTTGGCCTAGGTGCCCTTCCCCCCTATCAGTAGTGTCAGGATGGCCCCTTCCACTTCACAATCACAATTGGAATGCCCCATTCCACCCCAACAATAGTGGTGGTATGGCCCACATGCTTTTCTGGTATAGATGCCCCCCCACACATCTTGGTTTGCCCTACTCTGCTCCTCACATTGCCCCTCCCCCCACCACTTCCACTTTCTTTCCCTTTGCTTGTCAGGACCAGCTGGACCTGCACCTGCCCTCTGCTGGAAGGGGCTGGAACTGCTCAGCTGGGTATCAAAAGCCCTATACTGCTAATGGTGATTCCCCTCTAGACTCCAGTGCTTTGGAAACAGGAGGGACCAAGTTCTATACCTGCTTGCTGTGAAATTTGTAGTGACAGCCAGGAAGTTCCTAGCTGGCCATGGATTTGTTGCAGTAATGATAAACAGACATTGAGAGCGGGGGCAGTGAACAAAAAGCCCTGGGTGTTGCATAGATGTTATTTCCCATGGAAAGCAAGTGGTAAATGCTGGTTGCGTCACAAATTTCCAGGGAGCATCTTTTAATCTTGATTCTGCAGCCCTCAGCCACACACAGTGAGATTTCTCTTGTGCACGTAATAATAATACTCTGCACTTGCATAGCATTTTGTACCCATAGATCTCAAAGCTTTTCACAAAGGTGGGTAAATATTGTATAGAAGATGGAAGTGACTTCTCCGAGACCATGTATCAAGTCACTGGCACTGTAGAATAGGATCCAGATGTCCTGCCTCCCAGGCTGCTGATGGTAAATCCCTTAGATTGTAGTCCCCTTGGGGCAGATACTTGGTCTTTCTATTCCCCTGTAAAGCGCCATACATACCTGTGGCACTATGTAAAATAATAAAAGATGCAGGATGGATGTAGCCAAGGTTGAAGGTTGCCACTGTCCACGGATGCAGTTGTTAAGACATTCCCTGCCGGTGAGGTTATCAGTATAAAAGGTGGGTCACTTGGGAAGAATTGCTCCACCTCAGATGCCACAAACCCTGAAATCTTTACCATCAAATGCAGGTAACTTGCCAGATGAGAACTGCTGCATTCCTGCCCATGAGAACAAACTAACAGGCAGAAAATGGGGCTTCTCAGGTGAAGTGTAAACGTGGAGAATGACATGATTAAGCCTCGCCCATGCCAAGGAAGATACCGAGCAGGGTGAAGAGAATGTCATGACTCAGCAGCCACTGTTGAAACTCTGCCATTGGCACTGGCCACAGATGAGAGGGGAATGATTTCAGGTTCAGGTGCCAGAAGCAGGTCACCCTAACCCTCTGTCTATAATACCGTGTGCAGGGGTGACAGAGAGCTGGGAGATCAGCCCAAGGACTCTGTTCTGTTGGGAGAGGACAAGAAGCAGGACAAGAATGGGGCGTACAGGGAGCTAGTGTTTGACTAGAAGTGATTCTCAAACTTTTGTACTGGTGACCCCTTTCACATAGCAGGCCTCTGAGTGCGACCCCCCCTTATAAATTTAAAACACTTTTTTATATATCTACTACAATTTATATATGCTGGAGGCAAGCGGGATTTGTGGTGGAGGCTGACGGCTCACGACCCCCCATGTAATAACCTTGCGACACCCTGAGGGGTCCCGACCCCCAGTTTGAGAACCCCTGGACTAGAGCAATATGCAAGGAAGCAAGCCCTTTTGGAGGGGGTATTTTCAGGAAAGATAAAGCTCTTGTAACAAGCTGTATGGTTATTTAGAGAGGAGAAAGGGCCTTTGTAGGAGGAGAGGGACTATCCTTCCCTGGGAAAAGCACTGAGTGAGGCCGGGAAATCCCCACCCTTGGCAACCTGAGTACAGTAGAGAGATTTCTGGCTCTCTAGCTCCCTTCTCCTCTATAATGAAATCACATTCATCACACACTAACTCATCCCACTGTGTGCCACCCCGTTTCTCCTTCATAGCTCAGAGACAGTTATGCCTCTCCATCAAGGTGGCATTTCATGGGTAGCCCTAGGGATGTATTTGGGCTATTATGAGCAACAGGCAAAGGGCAAGCATTTTAGTACGTAAGTTTAGTGGTGCTGGAGTAAGGCATCAGGATGCCTGTCCTCGGGAACAAAGTCCCCTGTTTATTATCTACACAACAGGAATAGCACGGGCAGCAGCAAGACAATTTAAATGATTCCGCAGTTGTCTAGTAACCCACTTACTTTCACTGTTGACTGCAGAGAGTTCAGGACCTCTGGCTCTGAAAACACAGGGTCCAAGTTCCTGGCCAAATTCCAATTTAAGTAATTACAGTCTGCCTCTCTAAATCCTCCTTGCAGTTCCAATTGAAGATGCTGCTCTTCCTCACTTCCTGTCCTAAACTATTGGGTGATGTTACTGTGCAATTTTACCCAGCAGCCACGTTCTACCCAGGAAGTGGCCACATTTAAGAGTCATGCTTTGGCATATCATGAAAAGCAGCAGAGATCATGCACTTTCTTACAATACAAGTTGTGTATTTAATTCCATTCTGTTCAGTGATTAGGGATCTTGGCAGATCTTACTAGATAACAGGAAGTTATGTTCTTGATGGATGGTTTACATACTAAGTCAATTCTTAAAGGCCTAGTGCCAATACCTTAAAGACTGTTTAGAACACTACATCCTTCAGTATTGATTCAAGTTATCTCATTCCTGGCCCATCTCACAGCAGGTGTCCTACATAATGTTCTCTAAGATCCCATGTGCATTTCAGAGGAGATTCCATAGGGCAGGCGGGCTAGGCATTCCCTACCCTGTTTTGAATCAAATATATATTGATCTTTACCCCCTGCTCTAAATTATTTCTAAGAGGCATCTGTACCTGTCAGAGTTGCATCTGACATGTAGGTCAGGTCAGGAAGAGACTGTCAGTTCCGTATCTTGTGATAAAAACATGAAACCACATGTTGGCCAACACAAAACAACTGCAAGGCAGAAACCAAAGATAACATCGTGGTCACTGCTCTGAGGAACTTGTGCCAGGAAGAAGGAAAAACAAATGACCATAAACCCTGGAGAAAAGCATAGTTGTGTTGTTCACCGAGCAGAGAAGTTTGATTTGTGCTAGAAGTCAGCAGCTAGTTACTAGGGGAGGTGGAGAGCACTGGAAAGAGCAGGATACAAAGAGGGCAAATAGACTTGTCATGCGCTTCTTTTGGTTCATGAAAAGAACTGCAGAGATACATTAGAGGGGATAAATGATTTTGGGTGGCACAAGGGGTCCTAACACTGGCCCTCATGTATCCCAGAGCTGTGGCGTTTGCCATGGAAATCCACCTCTTATGCACAACTGTGCTCCTGAATCCGTCTTCATTTTTAAAAAATGTGTCTAGTCCTTATGGTGGCAAAGGAAACCTTGAAGACATGACAAATGTAACCAAGCATGAGTCTATAGGCAGCCTGAAATAATAACTCTGAGAAAGCCGAACAGTCTCACTTCTTCCCTTGGCATTTACCAAAGCACTGATCCAGAGAGAAAGCTTGGATGGCTGGAGTAAGGGGGTAAGATCGGGGGACTGAGGCCTGATCCAAAGCCCACTGACGTCAATGACGCCAGCTGACTACACTGGGCTTTGGATCAGGCCCCAGATCCTGATCTCCGTTATTCGAGTGTATCTCGTTGGACTTCCCCAGGGGGTTAATCCAGTGAGATGAGTGGAGCCAGACCTGGGGTGTTTACATACCTTACTGCCATTATTTATTATGTCAGTTCCCAATGTCAGACAAATACCCAACAGAAACAACGTATTATGTATTCTGGGAATGGAAATGTTCTCAAGCTTCATCCTGACAAGCTGAGAGCAGGGAGGTAGAAGGGAATTGGGAGAAGGCCCGGGAGCATGGGTAGAGGTGAGCAACAGGCACACAAAAGGGAGAACAGGTTGAGTAGACTGATTCATCTGGCCGGGCTCCAGGTAGCTCCAGGGAAGGTGAAGTGAAAGGTATGAATGACCCATTGATCTGCTTCCTTGTAGAAGGGGTGGAACACCGGATACAGCTGACTCAGAGCCTGGGATCCGCAAGACCCTGCCCCTTCCTACAGCTATGACTCCACTTCTGGCTGGACTCCTCTAGAACAAGGAAGAGAAAGATGAGAGTTTCAGTCTTGGCCCCGTGGCTGTAACTGACCAACCCCCCCCACACACACACACACACTCCTGTAAAACAGTGCTGACTTATAGCATGCCACATGCTTTCCTTTCCTGGTGTCATGTGGGATTATTGTCCTGGGCACAACATCAAGCAGGCATACTGTCTGGGTGTGACATTTATATAATGGGAGGGTGTTGCAGGGCTGCAATCATGTTCGTAAAGCGCTCCAGAGGGCAAGCAGGAGGCCTATGCACCACTTAAGACCCATGTATGTCCTAATTTGGGGGATTCAGTGGTGTATAGACCTTGTGCCGAGCCCCTGCACAGGGGTATATTTCACTCTATGAAGGCCTTGGACGGAAGGCAGTGTAGACACGGAAAGTTCTGAAGAGGGCTTATTCGCCGTATGAGCTGGTGTTTTGATGTG